CCCCCCCCCCCCCCCCCCCCCCCCATCCCTGCAGCTAAATGGGTTAATCGCCAACTTCGACAGTGGTGAGTGGTCTTGTTGAACCACTTTCTAAAACTGGCTAACATAAAATCGAAGTCATTTAACGAAGTAAGGCATATTATGGTGCAGTGTGGCTTAATGGTTCATCACAAACCTTGGCAGTTAAACCTTTAAGTGGCAATGTGCCCTGATGTGCCCTACTTTATTATTTCACTCTGTCTTACACCAGACAATCTTTCTAATCAAGGGAGTGTACTACCACACAATGGGTTAAACCATTAATGAGCAAAGTGACAAAGAACAGTTGCAACTTATTGTTAACAAGAGAATTGGCTAGTAGACTGTTTAATACCCGACATTCACTTGTCTATACTATACAATTACAAGGTGCAGGGGGCCCGGGCCCCTCCTCTTTTTAGTTGCGGGGGGCCTAAATGTCTTTGAGCCCCCACCCCCCACACAGTTTTTAACAATGGTCAATAAACACAAAATTAATTGATATTATTTCAGATATTTGATGACATTTTGTCATCTTTACAACTCTGTAAATCTCCTGCAGTTTCAAAATATTTATCCGTGGGGGCACGGCATGCCCCCAGACCCCCTAGAATTTCGCCGACCTTCAGCGGGCGCTAATTGTGCCCTCCCCCCCCACACACACACACTCTTAGAGCCGCTCCGACGCCCCTGACTGAGCGTAACAAAGTAGGCGCGTAATTAATATGGCACAGTGTGTGGCTTAAGGGAGCGGTCATTTATGGTGGGGGGTGGCACCCAAACTCGTCCCCAGTCGCTTTAAGAGCGGGCGCGCGGCCAGAAGTGGGTGCGTAGAGGCTCACGGCAAGGGTGAAAGAAGAAACTTCCCTTTTCCCCTTGCGCGCGTCCACATTTGGTACTGATCTGTATATATATATGGATATATACCTATTCGTCCCTATATATAAAATTGAAATTCAAATAACGACTTGGGACGAGTCTGGGTGGCACCGAAGAGAAATGTTTTTCGTGCTAAAAATTTTGCTGACCCAACCATTAAAAAGTAAAATATTTGATTACCCAACCTCAAATATCAATTAAAAAAGAAATACCCACCCCTGGTCAAAAACATTACAAAAAGATACCATTCAGTTGTCACACAAGTCCCTTACCACTTCTGTGACATAGTTTGATAACGGATTGTGAAATTTTCCGCAGTCTAAAGTGTCACGTTGTCTGCACATGTACTTTCTTTGGAGACACCATTTGTCTCCGAACAAATCGGAAAATGATCAAGATATATAGTGACTCTGATCGATTCACATATTGTATTGACATATGACTGTTGTCATTGCTTTTTAGTCTCCAATATTTCAGTGAGTTATGCTTTGGAAATGACAATAAATTTTTATTAAACCCTTGAGTTGTTTTGTTTTTCATTTACCCAACCTTTTACTCACTCAAAATTTTGTTTACCCAACCATTTTCTGTTCGGTGCCACCCCCCACCGTAAATAATGACCGCTCCCTAATGGGTTGACACAAAACGTAGCTGCACGCTCTGGTTGACAATTCTGTTGAAACAATTTGCTTCCATATATTGTACTTTTTAAGTAGTGCTACCCCATATGTCGGAATTTATAATGAGCTTGCAAAATCTATGACGTCACCTGGTTCAGATAGCATCGGTTCTAGCGGCGGAAGTATGCAAAACCTATGAGGTGTGTCCCACTCTGCAGTCCAAAGGGATGTCGCCAATGACGTCACAATAGCGTCGCGTTACCAAGTCTCGTTACCATTCGGGTTGCGTTACATCGTTACGTTACCTATCACAGAACTCAGTGCCCATTAAGTACGTTCATGGTTACGTTATAGACAGATTTAGATCGAGGACGTCAAAGACGACGTGAAAATGGCGTGTTGTGCCCATGTATGGATATGCCACGCCATTTTGACGTTATCTGTCACAGAACTCAGTACGTGACACTAACACGCGTGCTTGACCGAAACAGTAACTAAACTGAGCTCAGCATTTTCATTACCGAAGACGACGATTATTAGTATTTGTATACATTCGTTTGAGTATCATTTCGCTGTGAAAGCCATAGAATGGAACGTCTAGCTGTCCGTTAGAATTTATTGGAAGAAATACAGTATATGCGAATGCAGTCGCACATGAAGTTCAAAGACTTTGTGTGGAATCCTGTAATGGTTGTCAAATCGGTCATCCTAGTCGAGGGCAACATGACTGCCTCGTGATGGACGAAAACGAACGATGGCATATACAGCGGCGTAGGAAGCATGAAAAGAGTGGGGGGGGGCACCAGCTTCAAGGGGTACTTTTGGATATTGAAAAGGGCACTTAAAAAATTTCCCCCACAAATGTTGGCGACGGAGAAGGACGGCAAGGGGGGAAGAAAAATTTTCCCGTCGTACCATACCGCAATTGCACGTTTTTGACCAAATTTTTTTAAACTATCAGTCTATCGAAATTTAGTCCGAACAAAAAGGGCACCTTTGATGTTAATTTAGTATTTACAGCGACATTAGCTTGTACAAAAAGGTCACTTTTCATCACAAAAAGGGGCACTTTTGGTCCTTTGAAAAAATTTGGGGAGGGGGGGGGGGCACGTGGGGAAAATGTATGGTTTACAAGCGATCGAATGAGTGAATGTTAAGAGGCAGTCCGTTTAAAAACCGACCACTCGAATTTCTTAAGATTACAGATTTTCTTCAAACTTTCTGTGTGGAAGAAGTCATTCATAAAATGAACAAAAAACGTTGACTTTGAAATTGTAGTCAGTTTTAAAATTTTTTTCGCAATTATTTTCGGACGCGTTCGAAAACAAGTTAAAACGTTAATTACGCAAGTGATATTTGAGCTTTTTTATATCTCACAGTTCATCTCGCGCTTTTATCCTAACTTCTTGAAACTTACATATTTTATTATTTCCTGCCTAGGCATAAACCTAAACTAAAAATTATCCTGATCACTTGAAGCAAACAAAATATTGTGTATTTTTAAAAACGTCTTTCAGACAGCCGATTAAATATTCGTGTTAGTATGCTGGCGGTAAATTATTTTTTCTCAAAAGTGCAACGGTATCAGGTATCCAATCTATTGCAGCTACTGAGTATTATGACACATCTACTAGAATAAATAATAAAATCTTTGGGCAGTGTGTTTTTCGCCTGACAAGCGCGTCATGAATATAGTCAATTTTTGCTAATTCCTCTAATTATAAGCTATAATTTCTTTTTGTATTTACCTAAATTTTTCGCGTTAAAAACATACAAAACTGTTTACTGTTTCAAATATGGCTGTTTTTTGGATAGAGAGTAAGTTATAAATATGCCAGCAATTATATATGCTTGAAATTTTACGTTTACGGGTATCATTAAATACTACATGCATGGTATATATAAACAAAAATGTATAAGAAAAGTACGGGAAAGGATATATGTGTGCCAATTTATAGGAATGCCTTGAAGGGCACTTTTTTCTCATCATAGACATAGTGCAGATTTATTTTGCCACTATAAAATGAAACAATTATTTTATACATGTTTAATATTTTCATGTTTTTTAAGAACTGCAATTACATGCTGATCTCGGTTAAGGTCCTGTCACACTATTCATGCGTATGAGAGAAACGTATGAGTAGCGTAAACCATGCATGTGCATGCATATGTCCGCATACTCGAAAAAATTTTAACCATGCTTACCTTGCATGGTTCCCCGATTTTTAAATAGACACCTTTATACGATTTAGGACAGCAACGGCCACAAATACAATAAATAATTAAAAAGAATTCAATAATTGCAATATATGAATAATTTAGACATTGTCCTCGCTTTGTTTACAACGCCAAATCACAGATTTTCACGTCTTGACACAACGGCTGCATTTCAAGCCGCAACAAGTGCAACTTCAAACTGGCTTCAGCAGAACAGTCTTCCCAAACATAAAACCCATTAAATTCATACGATTGTATTAAATTCATACGATTGCTAATATACCACGATTGTCTTTAGGCCACTATTTGCTGTATATTAGTTTCTCATCCAGCCCGCATGCTTTTTAAGAAAATGGCCTTGTTCGCCATCATTATTGCCATTTTTGACCATTATTATAAATTTTGTGATGTCTTCAAAGTGAAATTTGAAAGAAAGACAATTAGAAACGTTCCCAAACCAAATGTTAGTTAAAATACAAAATTTCATAACCAAACTGCAAGTTTTTCCCGCATTACTATTACATATCCAAACCCAGCTATATAAGTTCTACCGGAAGCCAGGGGCAGGGGAGAAAAACGCCAGACGTTCTGGGTACAAAATTATGAAAACATGCTTTCAGTTGCACTTACTGATTTTGTGCTGTTTTTCAGAAAGTTGCTATATAAATGCTTAATGCGCACTTCTCCAAAATAAATTTTATGGAGAGGGGAAATCCAGCAAATAATGGCATAATGGTATTGGCCCGCCAGCCCGCATCAACTTTAGGAGAAGCTCCGGATGAGAAACTAATATACAACAAATAGTGGGCTTTAATACTACCATTTATTTGAGGGAGTTTGTTTTGGCCGTCGTCGTCGCGTTGCCGTCCTAAAATCGTAAGGCCTCTAATAACCCCTCCGTGCGATCGTTAAATCACTTGCCGTTAGATGCCTCTATATATACACCCTTTAGTTACTGCTTCGACCTTTCAGAGAGATTACGACATGCAGTCTTGGTTCATTTATTTGTTTGAGAATAAGTTTCACTTTCACTTAATATATACGCTTACTAGCCTACATGTTTCGTCGGTTTTAATATAGCCTAATAGCTCAAAGCAACAAGAAAGAAATTCGTTTCTATTAAAGTTGATTGTTTATAGATTCTAATTTCGTACCTTGTCTCTCTATGCACATGAGAGCAATATAAATGTATAGTAGTACACTCATAGGCGTACGGGATTCATATATCTATTGGAGGAGCTGTGGTCTATATTGCCCGAAAATATTTGGGCCCATTTCTTGACTTTTCTTTGGGGGATTTTACCCTCCCCCCTCCCCGAATTCAACAAGTTAAGATTGTAATGATTTTACGATATAAATATACTGTTAAGAAAGCGAAGAAAAACTTGAAATTACGCGTTGACCGACTTCAAGCGATGACGGGGATTATATATGAACCGCTTTTCACGCGAAAAACATTACTCTCTAATAAATTGTATAATATACTTTCTTCTAATATTCTCTACTGATAGATGTGTACATTCGGAGGAAATCGGTGCATATAGTTTTAGTTACCAAGATCAGTATGTTTACAGTGCTTTCATACACTGATAAATAATAAAAAGATAATACCGGCGGATAAAATTAGCAACGCGTGCATGTCAATTTCGAGTTTCAATATTGTGCGAGCCAGCGAGCCATGCGAGCCAAGGTGCGAGCCATGCGAGCCAGAGTGCGAGCCATGCGAGCCATGCGAGCCATGCGAGCCATGCGAGCCATGCGAGCCTTGCGAGCCATGCGAGCCTTGCGAGCCATGCGAGCCTTGCGAGCCATGCGAGCCTTGCGAGCCATGCGAGCCTTGCGAGCCATGCGAGCCATGCGCCAGAGTGCAAGCCACGCGAGCCAAGGTGCGAGACATTATTTAAAATGGTTAACGAGTGAAATGTAATGAGTAAAATAATAGACAAAATTCAGAAACGAAATATAAACATAATCAAGAACCCAATTTCAATTACAGGAATTTTATAACTCAAATAACTCAATTACAAATTATCTGAAGGTGTTTTAAGATCTAATGGACAACCTGCATGTTAATAAACCAAATTAAAACCCAAGGAAAGAGAAGGGAATCAAATACCACAGCTAAAAAGAACATAATGAAATTAGCAAAATCGCAAAATTCGGCCGCAAAATGTTGCAAGCCCTGGTAAACACAGTCCTGCAAAGTTTGCAAGCTTTGCATATGTTTGTATTACGTGCGGAAGTTGTTAGCATTTTCGGCAAATACAATATTGTAACATATACAAAACAATCATGCATGCAAACCCCGCAAGGCTACACCTTCCGTATTCTACAACAATTCGCACTAACCAAACTTTGCATTTTCACCAGTTTTAACAAGTTCTTTACGGGAAGTTACTTTTTTACTTACAATCATAGACAAATTTACTCGGACAAACATGGCAAATAAATTATTTTTTTAAACATTTTCATATATACTTCGTAAGGTCGGTCCCCCCTCCCCTGAAACAATGTTGATCACTTCAGTCATTATGGCAACTATTGCCGTATTGCGGTATCTGTAGCAACAACATTGTAACGGGGGAGCGGGGAATACGGCTGAATATGCGTATAATTAATTGATTGCTTTAAATTCCAGCCATTTTTAATCAGCGTCCACATGTTATTTGTCTAGAATTGTAGATCAAAAATTAGTCTAACACGCAAGTTGCTTATTGTGTCCTGGAGATAAGATGTACTCAGTACCATTTGGTCAAGACCAATTTCTTATAATTATTTATTTATTGCACATGGCTCGCACACATCGCGTGGCTCGCACCGATCTGTGGTGGCTCGCAACATCGGCATGGCTCGCTGGCTCGCACTTTATGTATACCCGTCAATTTCAGTCGGCACATGCGTCAAGATTTTTGCTCTAAGTTATAAAGCTAGCATAAATGCTGGCATATTTATAACTTAGTCTCTATCCAAAAGACAGCCATATTTAAAAGATAGTGAACAATTTTGTATGTTTTTAACGCGAAAAATTTAAGTAAATGCATTAACAAATTATAGCTTATAATTAGTCGAATTAGCGAAAATTGACTATATTCATGACGCGCTTGTCAGGCGAAAAACACACTGCCCAAAGATTTTATTATTTATTCTAGTAGATGTGTCATAATACTCAGTAGCTGCAATAGATTGGATACCTGATACCGTTGCACTTTTGAGAAAAAATAATTTACCGCCAGCATACTAACACGAATATTTAATCCGCTGTCTGAAAGACGTTTTTAAAAATACACAATATTTAGTTTGCTTCAAGCGATCAGGATAATTTTTAGTTTAGGTTTATGCCTAGGCAGGAAATAATAAAATATGTAAGTTTCACGAAGTTAGAGTAAAAGCGCGAGATGAACTGTGAGATATAAAAAAGCTCAAATATTACTTGCGTAATTAACGTTTTAACTTGTTTTCGAACGCGTCCGAAAATAATTGCGAAAAAATTTTAAAACTGACTACAATTTCAAAGTCAACGTTTTTTGTTCATTTTATGAATGACTTCTTCCACACAGAAAATTTGAAGGAAATCTGTAATCTTAAGAAATTCGAGTGGTCGGTTTTTACACGGACTGCCTCTGTAATAAATATCGTATATCGCTTATAAATCGCTCGTAATTCGCTCGTAAATCGCTATGAACTCCTTCGTATAAACAACAATAAAACAATATATTTTACTCGAAGACAATACAAAATTACAATAACAAAGCAATTACGTACATGATTGACAGTTAATACAGTGAACCTATTTATAGCTAATTATAGCATAATGTCTCTGTCTGATAATGTAACGATATATTAAAATGTTAATTACTCTGTTCATAACACTCCCCAGGGTTGAGCCGTACAGTGCTCAACAATACTCCCCAGTATAATCGTAACTAGAAATATGAAAGTTTCACGAACTACAGTCTGTCTAACTGTTCGCATAATCGGTTTCTCAAATAATTAATTAACGGATCATGTTTATGTCTTCCTTTGAAACTCTTTCATCTGTTCCAGTCTTCGCAATTCACCCACTACACATTCTCCTTGCATATTCTCCGTGTTCCTAGCAGTTCGTTTAACTTTTAGTTCGTTGACAAACCTTAACACGTACGCTGTTACACGCAACAGCTTAGCGAAGCTGCTGAAACGGTCACAACTTATGATATCGTTCAGATTCAATTCAGCTGATTCTTCTTCTTTCGTACTGACGAGTGAATGAATAACAGTCTGTGGTTTCTTAACGGTTTCGTTCAAGGCTGTGTCATCCAGGGCGCTCGCTGCTGGATCCTTCGGCCACTCGCACTGAGGCTTGTAAAGATACTCTGGTCCACTCCACCTGGTCCAGTGGTAGCTGATCCATTATAGACCACTCGCAACTTTGTAGTCGATTTGTCTTTCCTTACTACACCGTGATGTGGAAGATAATGCACGTTGTTTTCGTTCTCTTTGTTGTCGTCGCTTTGATAAGGCACTCGCTCGATTACTCCCGATATTAATTGTTCCTGAATTCCTTTGTCATATTCTCGAAGAGGCTCAGGTTGTCTTGTTAACTTCTGATGCAACGACCGTAACCGATTGTAACAAAGTTCGTAGTCGACTCCGACCTCAGGATTGTCCTCTTTCCAAGGTAGGCGAACTTCGTACCGTTCTCCTGTAAATCGAATATCACGAATGAAGTTGACATCATCGTTTGGTTCAGCTTGATAATTGTCTATTCCTATGGACTCTGTTTCCCAAAAACGCTTTAGTGAATTGACAATCTTGTCCTCGTTCGTTGGCGCGGTGAAGTATCTTGATGTGTCCAATGATTCACCAGTTAGGGTGAGATTTAAAACAGTTGGATCTTCGTGTTCAGCAGATTTTGGTACTCGACCGGATAACAACCATCCAAGCTTGCTGCTGACCGCTGGGACCACTTTCACCTTTGACAACATCACCTGTGACAATGTCCCAATAATGGTCTGCGCCAATTAGGATATCGATGCTGTTACTTTCATTATCGTCGCCGCCAAAGTCTGCAAGTTCCAGCCCTTCCAGATGTACGTAATTCGTGTTGACTTTCGAGTTCAGTGGAGAACATATTATAGGGAAATTAATTGCTGTAACTTCTACCTCTTCACTTCCGTTTTGGTTCTCGATATTGAATTTGTAGATTTCGCAGTTTTGGCGCTTGCATTTATTGTCCCCAAATGTGTTCAAATACAGTGTTTCCTTTCTAAATGGTTCCAACTTTAATTTCGCTTGAGTTGAATTCGTAATATAAGAGCGTTGGCTCCTTGTGTCAAATAATACGCGTACGGGAACTGATCTTACACCGTTCGTTGCCTTTGCTCTAGCTGTTTGAAGTAAAACAGTACCCTTACAGATTTTTGTGGCTGTTGTTGTAGATTCCTCATTTTTCGGCTGTTCGGTTGACTTCGCGCTTTCGACTTTCTGATTTCGTGAACATATCGATTGGTGGTGCCTGCCCTGGCAGTGGCGGCACTTTCTTGCATTGTTACAGTCTTTCGCGTTGTGTCCTCATAGGCGTACCGGGCGGGGGGGCGGGGGGGGCGGCAGCCCCCCCAGTTTTTTGGGCAGTCGGGCAATATTCGATGAACAGTCGGGCAATTTTGGTTTGCAATAAAAAAAAATGGGTCAAATTCTGTCAATTTAGTCTAAAATTAATTCAATTTTTTGGCAAATTTTGTTTTTTTCGAAAATTTATGTTATGCTCCGGAAAAATTGTTTGTCCGGAAAATTTTTTTGACCCCTAAAATGGTACACTGGCCAAAATTTTTTTGGCGACGGGGGGGGGGAGGTCGCCAAAATAATTTTTCCGGAAAAATTTTTTTGGTCCTAGTCGGGCAGAATACCGAAAAGTCGGGCAGAATCTCGAAAAGTCGGGCAATTTTCTTGCCGCCCCCCTAATTTTTTCCTTCCGGTACGCCCATGTGTGTCCTTTCCATAAACAATTAAAACAACGTCCTGATTCACTAAGAACTTTCTTTCGAGCTTCACAAGGAACAATCTGTTTGCATGATGCTGAATAATGGCGACCACTACAGTAAACGCATTGGATTTTGGAATTGTCGGGCAGCTGGCCATTGTTCACAAACATAGCAGCAGCAGTAGGCTTGTTCCCGTTGTTCTTAGAGTTGTAATCTTGATATTTAGAGCCTTGTTGATTATTCCCACTCGACTTAGTGCTTTCGCTCATTTCTCTTGCTTCGATTTCAAGTTTTATCGTAGTAAGTAATTCATCGATTTTCCAAGCTTCCTTGGTGGCCTTTCGTGCGATCTGCAGGCGAATATCGCTTGGCAACTTTGACATTATAATCGGTATCAATAGGCTTCCATATTGTTCCGAGGAAACGCCCAATGAAGCTAGACCACGTACATGCACGCTAATTTTGTCATAGACGTATCTTAAGGAAGATAGTTTCTCTCCTGTGCAAGCTTCTACTTTAAGTATTTCATCCATATGGGCCGCAATAACTTGTTGTGGCCTTCCAAAACGGTCCTGGAGAATTTCTACAGCGGCGTCATAATTCGCGTTCGTAAGATTAAGCCCTTGAATAGCGCGTAGTGCAGTTCCCTCGAGTAAAGAACTCAAATAATTAAACTTATCGACCTTGGAAATAGCATCGTTTTTATGTATCGTAGATTCGTAAGAGTCCCAAAACGTATTCCATTTTGTTACGTCACCTTTAAATTTCGGCAAGGTCAGCTTCGGTAATTTCGGTTTAACATTCGTTGTTGTACTTGTTGTCGCTGTCGGCTGAGACGTGTTCGTGTTTACTTCGCTTTGACTCGCATTATTTGATTGTTCGCCACTGTCAATAATCGTACTATTCGTTGAATTATCATTCCCATAGTCTAGTTCTTGATTCGGTGATAACTGACTCGGTTGGACCATAGGCAGCCCAGCAAAATGTGTAAAAATGCATTAAACGCTTAAAAATACGTATAAAGTTCGTCACAATTTGCTATCAAGCGATTTATTTGTGTAGCTCATTATACATGCAGATTCCGATGTTTACGTCATTGTATTTTCATATAGTATATTATCCTAAGGCGGGCAACTCTTTTACAAAAAGATTTACACACACTAATACGCTCGCTTCAAACAACAACAAAAACCGCTACTTTCTGAAAACAAACTACATACAAAACACCTTGGATATTTTTTCTAACTTTATTCAAACTTTTTAGAGTTGAAAAAAGTTTAGAAGTATTTAAATTTCATGGATAAAAAGTGGGTTTTTATCGAAATTATTTTGTCGATAGGCGGGATGCAAAATGCACGACAAACGTCATCATCGGAAAAATCATTGGCTTGTTGCTTATTGGCTGTTGAAAAATCGGCAAATTCCGAAGAAAGTTTATTGACTGAAGTATATTATATTCGGAATTTGCCGATTTTTCAACAGCCAATAAGCAACAAGCCGATGATTTTTCCGATGATGACGTTTGTCGTGCATTTTGCATCCCGCCTATCGACAAAATAATTTCGATAAAAACCCACTTTTTATCCATAAAATTTAAATACTTCTAAACTTTTTTCAACTCTAAAAAGTTTGAATAAAGTTAGAAAAAATATCCAAGGTGTTTTGTATGTAGTTTGTTTTCAGAAAGTAGCGGTTTTTGTTGTTGTTTGAAGCGAGCGTATTAGTGTGTGTAAATATTTTTGTAAAAGAGTTGCCCGCCTTAGGATAATATACTATATGAAAATACAATGACGTAAACATCGGAATCTGCATGTATAATGAGCTACACAAATAAATCGCTTGATAGCAAATTGAGACGAACTTTATACATATTTTTAAGCGTTTAATGTATTTTTACACCTTTTGCTGGGCTGCCTATGGTTGGACGTTATTCTTTTCGTTGATCACTTTCGAAATTCCAGGCTTTAAAGCGTTTTCGAGTTTCCTTTTAGTGGTTAATATTCTAGAGACAACTTCCGCCGATTCTTCGATTTCTTGTTCGATACCTTTTACATCGCATAATCCTAAAATCTCTTCGTCAATTTCGCTTAGAATTTTTAATTTCTCTTCGAGTAAAGATCGGATAATTTCGCATCGATCGACATCAACATCGCCGGGTAAATGTAGGAGTTCGTCCGCTTCTTTCGCTAATTTAGTACAGACACCACGATGTCCGCCTCGCTTCGCTCTTAATCGGTCTAAATTCTCTTTCGATTCGGTCATACTTTCGCTTGGATTCAACTTGTTATGTTTTCAAGTTGCCCCACGTTGGGCGCCATGTAATAAATATCGTATATCGCTTATAAATCGCTCGTAATTCGCTCGTAAATCGCTATGAACTCCTTCGTATAAACAACAATAAAACAATATATTTTACTCGAAGACAATACAAAATTACAATAACAAAGCAATTACGTACATGATTGACAGTTAATACAGTGAACCTATTTATAGCTAATTATAGCATAATGTCTCTGTCTGATAATGTAACGATATATTAAAATGTTAATTTCTCTGTTCATAACACTATCTGTTGATTAAAATTGAGAATTTTGCCAGCTACATGAATTAAATTTGCTGCCTTTACAATAATCGTTACATGTCAAATTTCCCCCCCACTATATAATAAAATAACTGGACCCCATTCTGAACCAATGGGTGCCCCCCTTTTTTGGTCAAAAATAATTCATGATCCACCCCCTTTTTCGCCAGCCCACCCCCGGTCATAAATAATGAATGGTCCCTTAGTACCCTAGCCCTACTCCTAACCCTTTTCAATTGTGAATTTTATTCAATTTCGTCTTTTTTTACGTGACTCGACGTTTGACAGGGTGTGCACGGGCCTTGAAAATCTTGGAAAGTCCTTGAATTGGAAAAATATTCCAGGACTGGAAAGTCCTTGAATCTCAGCAGAAGTCCATGAAAGTCCTGGAATTAATTTCCTTAACCTCCAGATGTTGGCACATTAGTGATTTTGATTAAAAATACTGAATAAAGTGAATTATTTATACGGCAAATCCCTGCCATTTTCAAAGATTTTTCCCAGTTCTAGGTCCTCGAATTTACTGAAAAAGAGTCTTGAAAGTCCTGCAAAAGTCCTTGAATTTCACCTTCACCAAAGGGTGGGCACCCTGGTTTGACTCGGGCTCGGAATTGACTCGGACTCGGATTTGACTTGGTAAATGGATTTACTCCAATGTTTTTGCATGGCTTAACGACTATCGCCTCGACAATTGAACATTGTTTGTAATTATACGTTTGAACTGACATGTGCACTGCTGCTTGAATGTCGAAACTTCGCGACAATTAGAGAGTGTCTGCTTTCACATAACGGTAAGGCAGAACTAGAGCGTAAGACAAAATGATGAGAAGTAGCTTCAGTTATAATGCTTTATAAATAGAGAGGAAAACTGATGTTATTTATAAAATTAAACACTGACTAAGTCTATTATAATAAAGTTAAAAATAGTGGCCTTTCTTTTGTGTTGGCATGCCTGATGCCAAGCGTTCCATTCGCCTCGCACCACCGCTTAGAAATCATCGTCAAGCTGTCGCGCCCTGGTGATGGGTATGGTTAAGGCGTAGTCGGGGCTTAGCTCGAAAAGAGTTGAACTTGAATGTGTAACCCAAAGGGCTTAACCTTCACTCTAGATCACTGACCAGTGACCTCGTTGAATCCTCTACTATTTGAGCATAAATTAAATTGAATTGACCTGCATGTACATTGTAATCAAGTTCACATGATTTCAACTGTGTACAGTATACTGATTGACTAAATAAAGTTGTAAACCAACAGCGCAGTTATTGCTAATGTTCAATAATAGCCTGCATAGCCAGGCCTTTGTTGGATGATTGGATCATTAATTGCACTGTCTGATGGTTGAAAGTTATCTTACTTGTGATAGTTGTGTACCTTCAAACGGTACAAAACTAGAAAATTAAATGATGGTCTCCATGTTAACATTTAGGATTTTCCAGCCGCTTCATCTGGAAATTCCCAAGAGAATTAAAGACTGAGTTGTTTATGTAAAGACACTAATTCAACTAATCTAATGCCAAATGTTTATTATACATATATAATGCCAAAATTAAGGTGCATGGACGAGAACGATGTATATGCAGTATTGCATAGTAATTTTAACTTTTGTTTAAATATCAGTTTTAATATTAAAATACTAACACCGAAAGTACCGGTAAGGAACACCACATGATTAAGCATTAATTTCAGTGTCTAACCCTTCATGCAATTCTAAGCAGCAAATTTTGTTTTATCTAGGGTGATTGAAAGTAAAGACGAAACATTACCCATTGGAACAAATGTTGTTGGACCTCTGGGTTGTAAAACCCATGCAGTCATGCCAGGAAAAACTTTGACAAAATTGGACTTCCTTGATGACCTACCAACATCTGTAGGAGTTGGTGCTGCTGGCATGCCAGGGTATGATTACATTATCTTTCTACATATTAACAAAAATCTGAATGATTATATCACCGCCTTATTTACGTTTTATTACTAGAAATACATGCATGCAGAAACCCCTCGCCTTGCTAGCAAATCCACGATATTTTTCAAACATGAAATATTTGAAGTGGTTGATTGATTAATGATTGATTAATGATTGACTAATGATTGATTAATAGTTGATTAATATAATTGTTTTTGTTTGTGGAAACACCACGTAAATTTATTACTGCAGTAATAAATTTACGTGGTGTTTCCACAAACAAAAACAATTATATTTTATCGCCATGCAAACATTCAAAGAACTTAATTGATTAATAGTTTAAAAATACCAAAAATACAGTCAAAACTAAGCTGAATTAGATTAGAAAATTTACAATAACTTAATTGTTTGAGTATGTCTACGATTATACGCTGTTTCGTTTCAAGTTCTAATGCATTATCTGATGATAGTTAACAAATGGATGGATAATTCTCATGGCGCGCTTCTGTAAAAATTCAAGATCATCTCACAGATAATTGGGAAGTGAGTTATGGTAAACTGAGCAGGCGTACTCCATGACGGTGCGGATGCATGTGGTGCAAAAGGTTACAAGTTCCTTGGTAGCAACGCCTGCTCTCTTCAGTTGTTTGAGGAAGTAAAGTCTTGTACAGTCGAACCTCTATTAAGCGGCCCTCCATTAAGCGGCCACCCTCTATTAAACGGCCACATATCGAAGTCCCGAAATTCTTGAAATACAAATACTATAAACTATCCCTCTATTAAACGGCCACCTCTATTAAGCGGCCGCGGCCACCCAAAGAGCGGTCCCAAATGGTGGTTTATGTCAATTTTTACCTCTATTAAGCGGCCAGTCTGCAGGATTTACTTGGCGCAACACCTTGTCAAGAGAGCCGCAATTTGCTTTATTTGTAAAATAATGCTTAAAAATTATGTTTTAACACATGCCACTTTACACCTTAAAAGCTTTACACCTCAAAAGCATTGACTACGCCCAGGGTCTATTATTTGCGTACCTCTATTTAGCGGCCACCTCTATTAAGCGGCCACAAAACTGATCCCCGAGGGTGGCCGCTTGATAGAGGTTCGACTGTAGTTGCCTTTCGTGATATCTCAGATACGTGGCAGTTCCATCTCAGATCGTTCGACATGTTCGATTCAAGTAACTTGACACTATACCTCAGTCTATAGCTTTCTCATTTATGACAATTGGATTGAAATCTGCAACAGTCTTAGCAAACGAAATTTGCATTTCTTGGCATTTTGTTTCATTCAATTCAATTCAATTCAAGCTTGTTCTCGTTAGATTTAGTTACAAGTTTGTTCACGGAATCTTAAATCTTACTTTCTTGGTTCCTCGCGACGGGCTCTACGATTGGCGTGTCGTCCACATGTTTCCATAATTCAGTATTTGTAACAATAATATCGTCGATCATAAAAATGAAAAGCCATGGGCCAAGTTTTGTCCCTTGGGGAACCCCTGCAGGATTATCTCTCCTTCAGAGTTACAGTCCTGTCAGAGTTAACTCTTTGCTTGCGATTTTTAAGAAAGTCAAATAACCAGATCTATCAGATCAAATGCCTTCTTATAATCAAACAAATACGATCCTTACTGTAGATCCTGTTCCGTCAGTATTTTGGCCCATGAGTGCACCATACTGAGTAAAGCATGCGTAGTAGAGGATTTAGGAATACATCCAAACTGTCGTCCACTAGTTTTCTTCATCACAGCTGCTTGTACATGTTCCTCCACTACGGACTCCTCAGCTACCTTGGATAGCACTTGTGTTAATAATGATAGTGGGCGTAAATCTTTAATTTGTTAACATCTTGGACCTGCTTCTGTTTGGGGATATGTACTATATCTGCTGCTTTCCATGATGGAGGGAGACATCCCCTCGCTCAAAAGGAAAAGTTGATAATATCTGTTATAGGGCCGACCAGTAAATCTGCATTCTCTTTAATCAGCCAAGATGGTATGCCGTTTGGGCCAGAGGTCTTCCTTGGATTGAGCGAGGGGAGCTTGGTAAAAAGAGAGTCGAAAGAGACCGCGTATGGTACAGCAGGTGGATCGTTTGGCTGAGGTTCGTAATCTTTCGGTAGGGGTTCGAAGGTACTCAGTGGAGATAAAAAAGCTTCTTTATTGTTTTGGCTAAGTGTGCTCCGTCAGAGGTTCCACCAAGGTGTTGAAAAAGATACGCAGGGTTACCTTTGCTAGATGACGCAGATGAGAGGCCGCTGAGTTTCTTGACTTCACTCCACCAAGTTGATTGCTTACAATCTTTTAAGTGAGCTACTTTAGTGACATAGTCTTTCACTGTAAGGAAACAGATGACAGATGCAGCAGACCTCAATAAGAACAAAGCAACACCTAATAATATACTTGATAACAACGATTTGATCACGGATCCCAAAGAAATCGCGAAGATATTCAACTCCCATTTCTCTCAAATTTCCAATACTGTTATCAAAGAAACTGCACATCACCAGCCTAATTTCGATGCCTTACGTAATTTTGTGGACACTCGACTTCGCGATATTCAATGAAATCAACAACCTGTCATGTCACAAGGCAAAGGGAATTGATGCCATCAACGTCCATCTTCTCGAGATCGGCTGCAATAATCTCCCATCGCTTCTGTACCTCTACAACTCCAGCATAATCTTGGGCATCTTTCCAGACCAGTGGAAAATTAGTAAAATCACACCGGTTCTTAAGAAGGGTTCTCGCCAAGACAAAGATGATCTTGGAACGCTATTACAGAATGCATCTCATAAGCTATTTTCACCAATATAACCTACTTAGAAGCTCGAAATTTGGATCACGGCCCTTTCATTCCTGTGAAACAATGTTACTGCAACTTTCGGACACGTTACTTCATAGCATGGACAAAGGTGAACTAAGTGGAATACTTTTAGTAGATTTCCGGAAAGCTTTCGACCTGATAAACCATGAACTTCTTCTACAGAAACTTGCTATCTACGGACTTAAAGACGCAACACTGCAATGGTTCGGATCCTACCTGACAGAACGGAAACAACTCGTCTCAATTGGCCACTCAACCTCAGATCTCTTACCAGTTCGCAGTGGCGTCCCGCAAGGTTCATCCCTTGGTCCTCTCCTCTTCATCCTATTTATCAATGACATCCTTTTTGCAAATAATCAATGCAATTCCTATATCTATGTTGATGACACCACGTCAGCCAATTCTGGACCAACGATCAGTATGGTAAGAACACAAGAGCTGACAACCTCGCCACCTGGGCATCTGAGAATAGAATGGCAATACATCCTGACAAGACCAAAGTTATGCTAGTTGGAACGAAGAAAAAACTCATATCTGAACCTCTTAACATCTCCATTTGTGGCACCACCGTATCCCAATCATCTTCTTGGAATACACATGGATGATAGCCTAAGTTGGAACAAACACGTCTCTGCCGTTATAAAGAAATTCAACACCAAACTAGAACTAGTTAAACGAGCCAAACCCTACTTAACACCTGAACTTTTACTTCTCCTATACAACAGTTTGGCCAAGCCAACACTCGAATGTTGTTGCAGTGTGTGGGGTAACTGTTCTGCGGATGCACTTAGTCAATTAACCTCCGCCCAAAAAAGAGCTGCAAGAATTATCGTAAACGCAGACTACGCTACTCCATCCTTAACTTTATTCCAGCACCTTCAAATCATCCCTATACTCGATACCATCCGCCACTGCATCCTTCTACAAACCTTCAACTGCTTCCACGAAATTAGCCCACCTTGCCTCAGCACGCTCGTAGAAAAGCCGACACACCACCACTCCACAAGGGCAGTAGAAAACAACAACCTTTTTCTCGCCAAGGCCAGGACCAACGCAGGAAAACGCAGGTTTTTATTGCTGACTCCTTCCTTGTGGAATAGATGTCCAGACGTGGCCGAAAGAAACTTACCAACAAACTGTCTAAGATAACTGAATTGAACACAAAAAGATTGTACTAATTCCAATAGTAGAAATTGTTGAAAGTTATATAGATTGTTAATGTTGTGTGATTGTGATATATCTGTGTATGTTGTGTGTCTGTGACGTATCTGATAAGATAAGATAAGATAAGATAAGATAATTTTTATTTTTACTCTTTCATTACATAGTGCAAATTTTAAAAAGACAACAACAATTACAAAGACAGAAATTAGAGTAAAGGCTACCTATAATAACTATATAAGACCTAATAAATTTAGGTAGCACATGTGACTCTATTTGGAGACAAAACAAGACGGCAGATAAGAAATAAAATGGAAAAGGAAAAAGACTTTTAGCTCACTAATACATCAAAACGTTATCATACAAGACAAAAAACAGACGACACACACATAAATATTAAGTTATTTACATGGAAGTATAAATATTGTATCATCAAAGATGTCTACAAAACCAGATTCGTCAAAGGTACGATTGATGGAGTGATTTTTTTAATGACGCCTTAAATTTATATCTTTTTAAGGATTTTATTTCCATATCAATGGAATTCCAGACTACGCTGCCACGATAACGTATGTTGAACTTGCCATAATTTGTTCGAACTTTTGGAAGGTATAGTAGCTGTTTAGCAGAAGACCTCGTATTGTAATTGTGCACCTCAGTATCATTTTTAAAGAAATTATCAAATATAGTTGATAAATTGCCGGTGTGAAAATCAAACATAAATAGAGCATTTTGATAATATATTAATTAAGTCAGGAAACTTAAGTATGTTAAGGTGCTTAAAAAGTGGAGAGGTATGACTTTTGAAGCTAGAGAATGTTATCATTCTTACTACCTTTTTTTGTAATAAAGTTAAAACGTTTAGGTTGGATGCATATGTATTACCCCATACCGTTAAAGCATATGTTAAATATGGATAAATCAATGTATAGTATAATTGTTGGAGTATTTCTGTGCCAACGAAGTAGCGAATTTTTGAGATAATACCAATACAGCGTTTAATTTTTTTGCCAAATGTGAAATATGATATTTCCAGCTTAAGTTTGAATCGAGTAGAATTCCTAAATACTTAATATACTTTTCCTGTTTAATTCGGTTATTTCTGATCAATAATGAAATCTCATAGTTGGGTATCCGCTGGGTTGGATGAAAAAGCACAAAATTTGTTTTATCAATATTTAGGGATAATTTATTAGCTGCCAGCCAATCAATCACTTTTTCCAGATTTTCAGTTATTATTGATTCCAGGTTAACAAGGCTTGCATTAGCATAGAAAAGATTAGTATCATCTGCAAATATATTAAATTCAAAAGCCTTGCTACAATTATATTATGAAAATCGTTAATATACAATAAAAAAAGCAGTGGACCAAGAACAGATCCTTGAGGAACCCCGCATGTAATTTCAGATTCATCAGATTGAATATTGCCTATTGAAACAAATTGACGTCTGTTACTTAAGTAAGAGGAAAACCAGTCATAGGGTATGCCTCTTATTCCATAGCGATATAATTTTTCAAGAAGGATTGCATGATTTACGGTATCAAATGCTTTAAAAAAATCCAAAAATATTCCGCAGGCATGCCATCTTGTTTCAATTGCCTGTTGAATACTATCAGTTATAGAAAGAGCTAATTGTACTGTTGAACGCTAAGAACGAAACCCAAATTGCTTATTATCTGTGACTGTATATCTTACGTATATAAAGTATGTTAACTGCATGGGTATCGTAATCACGTATAATGTAATATATTTCTAGAACTTAATAAGAAGACCAGATTGGAAACAAGCTGTACTGTAGCTTTATCTGTAAATCCTCGTTAAGTAAACTGTTATTATTATTATTAAATGTTTGTTATTTCGAATTTTCACTGTCGTCATGCAGTCGTTATAATGCGAATTTTAAATTTGACCAATCAGTGTTCGCTATTCATGACAGTCCACAATATTTTTGAGATTAGTGAGGGTGACCATGCACCCATGAACAGTGAACCATAACCATGCACCCACGATTCTTGATGAACTTTAGACTTCTTTAGACTAGCTTCGCTAATGCTTTCCTTTCCCCGGGGGTAAATAGCCGTGCGGAATTAGTAGCCTCGGCCTGGGCTTACGCCCGGAACGGCGCCGTTGGCTCAGGGATCAAAGAATTAAAGTTGATGCATGAAATGATTTGAAACCAAATTTAAAAGAAGTTAACTTCTATAACGCCTTCAGAAAATAATTCCGCAAACAATATTTTTTACTGAAACCAGTTATTGGCATATACTGGTACTTCATATAACACTCATAAGACCATGCAATTAAAGCATATACACGCGTAAAAATCATCATGTTGTTGCAAGTTGTCAACAAGTTGCTGCAACTTGGTTCTGAACAGGATGCTGCAATATTGTGCGGCCCACTTGCAGCAATGTTGTCAACAATATTGTTCACGCTTGTTCGAACAATGTTGTTGACGCCTGATGAACGAACAAGGCCTGAACAACGTTGTTGGAACAACTGAGATCAACCTGATATCAATGCTGTTTTATATTGTCAACAACTGCGAACAGTCTTGTTTTATCAATACGTAAACAGCCTGATATCAATCGTTTTCGACGCTGTTATTCGTGGCCATTTTCCAGGGGGGGAGAGAAATTTAAAGGCACAGTTCAGCCTTTTGAATGATGGTTTTTAAGGCGCATTACAAGCCTTTGAATTGAAAAAACTAATTAGGAAAATCAATTAAGCACAATTCAAGATCAGTGATTTCAATGTTTTTAACATTTTTAAACATTTCTAATGTTTTTTTAACATTGAGTTCACTGATTTTGAATTATGCTTAATTGATTTTCCTAGTTAGTTTTTTCAATTAAAAGTCTTGTAATGCGCCATAAAAACCATCACTCAGAAGGCTGAACTGTGCCTTTAAATAAGCACACAAACAGACAAACTTTGCTTCTTGATATGAAATTCAGTTTATTTTGAAATAAGAAAATACAGATTAGTAAACAAATACAAACTAAAGAGATAATTACAGTAGAAGTACAAAGGTAAGATAACTATAAACTATTTTATATGCAATTAAGGCTTATAAAATACTAAGTACTATTTATAAATCTAAATACTTCATAGTGTTAATTATTAAGTGTTTTGACTTTTGAGTTCATATTAAATACTGGTAAACAATGGCAGTATTTTAGCAAAAGGTAGTGCAACACTGCAACCTCTATAATTATTATTTAGGTATTGTCAGGATGGAATTTGAATCTGTTGGAGCAAGTCTATCACAGAGATTTTATGAACCATGCATGCAATTTTTACATAATCATATATTTGCCCATTATATTTATAAACTGACAGTTAATAATTAATCTTTCACAGACTAATAAAATCATCTGGGGCCGGTAGTTCAAAGGCTTACACGGGCTTCGAACAACCAGGCCCAGATGATTTTATTAGTATGTGAAAGAGTAATAGTATTAACTGTCAGTTAATTTATAAATATAATGGGCAAATTAGAGATGGAGTATATAAAATTATTACTAAAGTAGGCTCATTGCCAATTGATGGATTAGGTTAACATAATTAATAAACTATAGATGGTTTTGTTGCATCACACTCGATGGAAATTGTAATGTTGGGTTTTGTTGATGGATAAATCGAGTACTTAATAATTTGAATTAAAATATGGACCTAACCAGGCCCTTATTGCCTGAATGGCATCTTATTCAAATGATCATTTAACTTGAAATAAAGGGATCTCCCTCAATTGATTTAGCCTGCAGAAGGCCAACCCCATTCCTGGATCACTTAACCTGAAATTCAGGCCCTACTTTCAACTTTCTGTTTGCATCCTTTTGAATGTTCAATATTTTTAACCTTACATTAATGATAATGATTATTCAATTAAAGTCAACAATTTCTTTTTCATCCTGCATGAGAACATCCAGTTAATTCAGTCCTCCTGAATTTGTTTGACACTCCTTAGCAGTGATATTTCTGTAGAATTGCCATTATTTTATTCCAGATATGAACTCATAGGCCCTATAAATTAAGATTAAATACATAGTGCCATTAATTTACAAAATGGACCTTTGCAATGTTTATGCATGCACTAGTCAATTGAAACCCCCAACCCCTGGGACAGGGGGGGAATTAACAGGGGAATGGCCGTGGATTAACACGGTCTTAATGCAGATTTCCCCCGGGGTACAGGGTAAATAACAAGTCAATTTATTAGCCAGGACAATTCCAAAGTCATGAAAATTTCCCAAGTCATGAAAATTTGCAAAGTGCTGGGGCCATAGGGACAGCAATTTTAACAGTCAATATTCTCCCGGTAGCAGGGAAATGTCCAAAATTTAA